TACTTCACGGTAAGGGTGGCCAGAGCCTGGAATAGGCTGCTGAGAGAGGTGCTGCTCTCACCTTCCCTGGAGATCTTTATGAGGAGACTGGACAGGCACCTAGCTGGGGTCTTATGACCCCTGCCACCCCGAGTGCTCCTTCCTGCCCATGGGAGGGGGTCAGACTAGATGATTTGTCTAGGTCCCTTCTGACTTATGATTCTATGTGTTCACCAGAGTGCCCCAAGGGATGACAAGGTTGAATGGTTATAAACTACTGCAAGACCATTTCAGGCTGGATATAAGGAAGAATTTCTTCACTGTCTGAGCTGCCGTGGTCTGACATAGCCTGCCATCAGAGGTGGTTCAAGCACCCACATTGAACGCTTTCAAGAGAAATTTGGATGATTATCTTGCTGGGATCCTATGACGCCAGCTGACTTCCTGCCCATGGAGCAGGGGGCTGGACTCAATGATCTTCTGAAGTCCCTTCCAGCCGTAATGTCTATGTAATCTATAAAATATGAAACCTTCCTTTACAAAAAAACAAAAAAAATATACAATGGGAAAAGCCATTTAAATTCATTTAAATCCATTCACCAATCCTGAAGATCTGTATAATTATCAAAAAAATAGCCCTTCACTGTGGCCCAAGCTAGACACCCAAAACTGAAGAACTCAAAATCACTAGGGACAAGCTTTTGAAATGTTTGGCCAGAATGTGCATTACTTATACTAATCACTTAAGGATCCCATACAGCAGACATCTATACACATAAGTAAAATTACACACGCCAACATATTGCTGGGATCAGGCAGTACCTAGTAGGGGAGTGTGAAATAGGCTGTATTCAATTCAAATTAAGGCCGAATCAGGGACAGTGATTCGATTAGTTGATTCAGATCACTGCCCGTTATTCGATTCTGCCAAATCCAAATCTGAAGATTTGATGCTGGTTTAGAGAATCAGCAATTCAGTCTTAGACACAGCTTTAAATGTTTTTTCTACAAACCTCAAGGTACCAGTGCAGCTAGCGAACACTACAATGCTGGGGCGGATGGAGCATCATTCTGGTCCACAGTGGACCAGAAGTACATTCAGCACGCTGGGCCCCTCCCCTGTGTCCCCCTGGCTCAGCAATCCATACCCAGGAGGCACCAGTTGCTCCCTGGTGGACCCGTAAGTGGACAGGAAGTGCTTCTGGTCCATTTCTGGGTCTGCTGCCGAGCGTGCTGGGGAGTTCCCCGTGCTTCTGTAGTACGCTTCATCTGCCCCAGCATTGCAGCATTCACGAGCCGCCTGGAACCTTAAGTTATGTTAGAAAAAACATGTAAAACTGTGTCAATGTCCAATCACAGAATCTTTCCAAATCGATTCAGAGGGTTCCAATTCGATTCAGAGAGATTAAAGGGTCTCCTGATTCAATTTGGATTCGGAGATTTAGCCACCGAATCAGGCTGAATCTCCGAATCGAATCAGGGACTAAAGCTTCGCACAGCCCTAGTACCTAGCTACCTGTCTTCTAAGCCAGCTGTTTGAATAACCATTACAGTTTTATAGGGCTGTTCTGTATTTGTTTTATCTTGACACTGTTTTAGCTTGTAAAACAGATTTTAATAGAGTATTATTCATTTTCCTTATATTTTGCTTAGAAAAGTGGTAAGCAAACACATTGATTGGAAAATATTAGACAATTAAAAATAAAATCTTCTTACTTCACCATATAGTTTTTGAAACCTGAAGCAAACAACATTTGGTTAATATCTTTGAGTAAAAGTCCTGATTTAAGAATGAACTTAATCATCTGCATGACTTCAAGGATTTACCTATTTGTTTAGCTCCAAGCTTATGTTAAAATTTCATTTACTTAAATGGGATTTAAGTATGTGCTTAAAGTTAAGCAAATATTTAGGTTCCTGTCTGAATAAGGTTGGAGTTAAGTACCAGCTTAACATTAAACATATATGCAGTTTCCTGAACTGAGACTTAAACTAACCTTAAAATGAATACCAGTACATTTGGTTTGCATATATTTATAGCTCAATGCACAGAAATAAAATAGGGGTAAGAATTAATACATCTCAGCTGAATTCACTTCCATCCTTATCATTTTTGGTACTTTTTGGGGAACTAATTTTCCTTGGGGAACTGTTGCAAATGTAATTATTACATTGACTGCATTTAAAAATACTAAATTATTTCCATTTTGGGTCTGTCAGGTGTGGAGAGGAAATAATGAAGAGGAAGCATCTTTGCTAGCCACAGGATGTGGAAGTTCAGCTCCTGGCTCTGTTATTGCTCCTAGCAATGTTATAACTACAGTGTTTCAATCTCAAGACGCTCCTGGGCATGGTTTCTCTGCATCTTTCATAAGCAGTAAGTGACATTAAAGTGAAATATAGCAGAGACCTCTTTAGATTAACAGCAAACAGCCATCTTAACTGGCTGCCATCTTTGGACCTCAGTTCAACATGACTCTCAAGCATGTGCCAAACCTTAAGGCCCTGGGTAGTCTTACTGAACTCAGTGGAAGTACTAAATGCTTGAATTTGGCGGATGCTAAAGAACCATGTTGAATTAGGGCACCAATGATGGCTTTAGTTTGTTGTTTTGTGGTAAAAAAGGAAGACCTTGGTTCTGAAGTATTCATTTCTTTTTAACAAAACTGTTTGGAAGAGAGGGCTCTAGAATTCTCAAGGAATGAAAAAAGTATCCTTTCTGCATTTGACAGTTTAACCTGTCTTTATTATCTTCTGCAAAATATGTTTAACTTCTTTTTCTAAGTACAGAATTGCTCTTGCTGCTCTCTTGGTAATGTATTCAATGCTCTGTGTCTGAATTGCTTTTGACAGACTTAACTGAATTCTTTCAACAACTGACTCATCTTTTGTTTTGCCTTATTTCACACTGGCTCACGAGTGGCCATTTTCACATGTCCTCTCTATTCCCTTATTTCAGGGAGGTTAAGGCCCACTGAACACACAAACGTTATTGTCTTGACAAAAATATTTTTTAGTGTGCTGCCAAAGCAAATCCAGTTTCCCTTCCCCGCAGTCAGATTAAGAATAGCAGGAAAATGCATATTAAGGCTCTTAAAATAACACTTACCAAGCACATAGAAATCCTTAATCGCAGTAGATTTTACAAAATCTAACTGACACTGATATCTATCAATGACTTTGTGGTGCAGTTATTGTCATTCATCTGACACAGGGCTAGATTCTTCTTCTCCTGGAGTCAATAGCAAAACCATAAGAGAAGGCAATGGCATTCATGTTACCATGTTGTATGCATATTTCATAATGTGGCACCCATGCATTCATGTGAATTTGTATCAAAGAGGTTGCAGTTATGCACTTTAAGTCAGTGAATTTTAACATGCTCACAGCCAGAAAAAGTCTTTAGAGAAGCAAGGTCATGGGGCCCAAATAAATTATTAGTGACACCTACTCCTTTAAAATAAGCAACAGCACTATATGCTTTAGAAATATTTAATTCTAAACCTTACCAGTCCCTTATCTGTGAAGGATCAGTGTCTCATTGTGTTGGATAATGTTCTGGCAAATAACAAGGAGGCAGTGCGCGCATCTGAGAAGTTTACTGCGGAGTTGACTAATTGGCTACACAGTAAAATGTTGCCATCTACACGTGTGGTGCTATTAGGTCAGAATAAACTAATTAACTCCATCATAGGATAGTACTGCCAGACACAAGTTCTAACCTATGGCACAGTTATTTACTCTGCCACAATGCATGTGCAGATACTGATGCAGCTAGCTGGGGCATGAGGGTGCCTCAGTGCGGGGGGCTACCTGCTGGCTAGCCCCACACTGAAGCACCCTCATTCCCCTGCCAGCCCCTCCACGGAACAGTTTGCTGAGCCAGCTTCACTGAGTCCTCTGCCAGCTGGGACTGTTCTGCACTGGCTCAATGTGCTGCAGTCCCAAATACATGTGCAAGCACAGTGCCTGGGAGCAATAAACTCCAGCGTGAACTGTGCCACAGTTTATTCAGCAGCCTTAATTGCATGTGTAGATGCACCCAGTGTCTACATTTGACCATATAGGGCACTTGTATATGTGACAGGGTTTTAGTCCTTAGGATTGCAGTCTATGCTCCCTCAATTGAAACAGTGAGTTTTTAATTGAAACAGCGGGTTTGATTTTTCCATCACTGTATATATCAGGGGTGGGCAAAATGCAGCCCGGGGGCCAGATGTGACTTACCAGGCCATTCTATCTGGCCTATGGGGCACCTAAAAAATTTAGAAAATTAATAGTTATCTGCCCCAGCTGCCTGTCATGCGGCCCTTGATGGCTTGCCAAAACTCAGTAAGCAGCCCTCCGCCCAAAATAATTGCCCGCCCCTGGTATATTTGTTATTGTCCTGGTGGCCACAGGTGCCAGCTGAAGGCAGAAGCGGTGAGGGGCCCAATCCCTTTTTCTTTTTTTTTATTTCCCCAGTGGAGCCTGCCCACCTCTCCCACGGCCAGGGGTCTTATTCTGTGCCATTAATCTGTCAGCTTTCCTCCCATCTGTGAGAGAAGTAGGCAGGCTTTGCAGAAAAAAAGGATCAGAATCCTCGCCACTTCTGCCTTCAGCAAGCTCCTCCTGCCACCTCCCTGCACTGTCCCAGGGGCAAACCTGCCTATTCCCAGGTGGCCTCAGGTGCCGTGATGGCCACAGGAGCCTGCTGAAGGCAGAAGCAGTGAGAGGCCTGATCTGTTTTTTCTGTGGAGCCTGCCTGCCACTTCTGCAGCCAGGGGGCAAGCTGACTAATGGCTGCAATGTTCCAAGTTGCAACACCGCAAACTGAACTACATCCTAATGTAGTTTAGTTTACAACAAGTCAAACTCAGTTAAAACCACAGAATTTGCGTACGTGTAATGTGTGATGCCATTAAGCCACACAAAGGGAAGTTTTCATCATGGGTACGTCATGATATCATCACATGTACAAGTACCCATACAATCTTGCTGTAAGGCATAATGCAACATGTGTACTGTTTTAAGCTAAGAATGGATTTTCAGAGGCATTCGGGTGCTCATTTCTCACTGAAATTCAAGTAGATATGAGTGCCTAACTCCCTTATACTCCCTTGAAAATCCTAGAATGTGTGTCTCATGTTTGCCATAGAAATTACTATTACACCCATCTAGGGACTACTGTTGCTGAATGTAAGTACTTCTATTCCCTCTTGCCTTGTCAGGGATTTATTTTAGAGGGAAAAGGCCCTTGCATCCATTTTCCCCCCAGTTTCCTATTTTGTCCATCTTAAAACAAACAAAACATGAATTTTGTCACTCAGTCTAACCCTGCATTTGCTTGCTTGTGTCTATTTCCAGGGTGTGGAGTAAATTTCACTGGCCTTACAGGTCGCATTGTTTCTCCCAACTACCCCAGCCAGTATGACAACAACTTGAATTGCAATTACATCATTGATGTGAGCCCACAGTCATTTGTTATCCTACAGTTTGAGACTTTTCATTTGGAATGTAAGTGTTTGCTTCTTTTTACATCTCCCACATAGTCTATTCTGGAAGGGTAAAACAAGTCTCATTTCTTGAAAAATAATTATTGAAATTCTGTACCATGTTTTGCAAAGCAGTTACAGGCAAACATGAGCTAATTTGGAAAAATGACCATGTAGAACTTTGCCAGATGACAGAAATCTTGCAGAAATTGGGGAAGGGAGCATCAGCAGTTTGGGGGTTTGCTCCCAGTTTTGCCACTGACTTTCTTGTAACTTTGACCAAATCATTTATTTTTTTTTTGCACTTCCACCTCCTCAGTCTGTAAAATGAATATAATCGTACCTACATATTGCACAAAGATATAGTAACATCTAATTAATGTTTGTAAACTACTTTGCAATCTTTGGGGCAAGGACAGAGTTGATAGTGTTTGTTAATTAACAAGTGTCTGGTAGATTTTGCACACTGCCAGAATTTAGCCAGGCAAGAAATATCTAGGGTTAAATTCTGCTCCTCTAGAAGTCAGTGAATGACCTCCCACTGACTTCAATATGGCCAGGATTTCACCCAAGGAGTTGTGTCGTGGAACAGCTGATTCTGGATTGTCCAGTTTACTTTGGTAGCATTCTTAAAAAGGATGATTTGAATAATCTGCTTTCTGATGAATTGCTGCCTTGGCCAGCAATAAAAATAGGAGATTAATATTTTTTAAAAATCGGAATTATTTTGTATTTCCAAAACATAATTCTGGTCTAACTTTGAGTTTGGTACAAATCTGTGATTCAGCCATGACTTTACCTAAAAGAATTTGGTCATCCCACCAGAAACTTAATTTAGTGCTTTGTGAATTAAAGAAGAGAGCAAGCCAAAATAGAAACAATACAAATGGAACAATTTGGAATGAAAAGCTAATCTTTGTCATCTTGAACAAAATATTAAAATACAAGGCAAAACAAATAATGGCCATATTTGTATAAGATAATATTAATACATTTTTAGTGAAATATTCATGTTCTAAATTTCCTTAAATAATAATTTGCCTTTATGGTGTAGGAAGGCTTAAGTGAAATTAAAAAAACAATTCTATTTAAAAATGTTATTAGGTTTTTTTTTTTATATTAATAGCCATTCAGAAGATGTTATGCACTTGGAACATCTGTTTACAAAGACTGAGGAAAAAGATATAATATAGGCCTGTCATCAGTATTTACATTATCCTATCATCAGTATTTACACAGGTCACTTAACTGCAGCTCTGGTTTGTTCCTCTATTGTTGTAGTCCTCTTCATTGTATACAAACACAAAGTTCTTAATCATCTGGAACACAAGAAATTGGAATATTAGCAAGAAAGGATCTTATTGTACAAGAAGCCTGACAACCACTGGAAGTTGCTTAAAATGTGGGGTTTTTTTGTGTAATAGCAGATGAAAATTGAATTGGTTTAAATTTAAAATGGAAAAGATGATTCTGAGTTCAGTCTTGCAAGTTATTAAGCACCTGCTAAAATGTGTACTTGAGTAGTCCTTGAGAACCTCTTCATTCACAAAGTTAATTGTGTGCCTAAGATTTTTCAGGATCAGATCTTCAGTCTGTTTTTCCAAAGTCATGTTACAATTAGGTCCAGCATGAGCATTTTTAGTTAAATTGAAACCAAGTGAGTTTGCTTCTGTGAGCTAATACAGGTATATTTGGCTTATTGGACTAAGCAAATCAATATGTCTTATTGCTAACTATGAGTTTTGGCTAGATTCCTTTTCTCTCTTCTGGCAAAAGAATGTTTCTTTGTGTGAGAGCAGATATGGTTACAGAGCCTTGGTTTTATTCTTGTCTGATCTGCGGAGACTATATATTATTTTGTATTTCCTTCTATTACTCATCACGTTTTGCTAGTTTATTTTATGTAGCATCAAGCAGATGGGTTCTTCAGGCATTTGATTACTTAGTCTGAAGGACACAGATAAATATTTCTCTCCTCCTTTCACACTTTAGTCTGTAGGTCTGGGCGACTTTAAAATATTAAAACTGGCAAGAATCCTCCCTGCTCACCCCCTTCCCTGTTTACAGAATTATCTAAGGTGTCTATGCAGGTCCATCCCCTTATTTCCAATCTTTATTCAAATAGACCCTATTTTTAAGTATATGTCCTTAATGGCAGCATTTGATAACGTCTTATTAGAGTGCTAAAACACTTAAGTTCTCTCCAAGTAAAAGGGAGTCTTTTGTGGAATACTGAGTACATGAATATTTTGCTTTGTACATGAATACATGTACAATCATTTTGTAAAACATTTACTGTATGGTTTTAGAAGATGTATTTCTTTTCCAAGCCGAAACATGCCAGCCTAAGTAATTATTGTTGTCTTTTTTTTCTTTGCTTTTTTTTAAACTTGAAGCCATAATTTTGCAATATGGCACAAGATTGCCATCCATTTTGGAATCTTCTGTCTGTTTTCTCAACTGTTTCCAAGCAAGTCAGAAAATAGATGCATTTTGCAATAAATTATTTTGAAAGAAGAGAACTTGTAAAGACTTTTGTAATCACTTACTTTCGAAATAGTCCCTTCTGCAAGTTCATGTTGGTTAATATACAATAGGAGTAGATATCAGTATAATGCCTTTGTTACTTTATTATTTTTATTAACATACAATCTAGGAACCCTAGTCATGGACCAGAAACTTATTGTGCTTGGAGTTATACAAACAGAACAAGACAATTCTTGTCCCAATGATCTTACTATTTAAGTATAAGTAAGTTGCATAGGATATAAGTAATATACAAGTATAAGATGTACAGAGACAGACAGAGGAATACTAGAAAATAGTGAGATGATATTGGTTGGTATAGGTGCACCAAAAGCCAGATGCTCAAGTGTGTTGGAGCAGCCATTAGAACAAAGAAGGAATTGGAATAAGGATAATGAAACTTAGAATATGCTTTCTTCTCCCCAAGCATCAGGGATAGCTTGGTAAAAAGCACAAACGGGATTATTTGAAATGGGCAATGGAGATTGCCACCATGGACCAACAGAAGATAGGAGTCAGCATTTCAGTACTGAGAGACACTGATAAGGAGAAGTAATTCTCCCACCCTATTCTGTACAAGTGAAACCTTTACTGGGAGGACTGTGTCCAGCTTGGGCTACTATACTTTGCATACATGAGCAGATTGGAAAGAGCCTGGAGGAAAGCAGCAAACATTATTACAGCTCTGGAAGACTTGACATATGTGGAGAGCTTCAAAGAACTGGGATTATTTAGTCTGAAAGGCTATTGATCATGATCTTCAAATGCAAAAAGAGTTGTTATATTGAAGATCATGATCAACTATTCCCTGTGTCCACAGGGGGCACAACAACAACATTTAGACTTGATATTAGAAAGAACTTTCGGAGTATGAAGGGTGTTAAACATTGGCAACAGATTACCTAGGGAGGCTGTGGAATTTCCATCATTGGAAGTCCTTAAATTCAGATTAAACAGATACTTGGCTGGGATGGTTTAGACAGGGGTGATTGTGCCCTTAACAGGAGACTAGACTTAAATGCCCTTCTGAGATCCCACCCAACCCTATTTTTCTCTGATTCTACAATTGGCTGTGAGGGACCATGGAAACAGGCAAACAATGAGTCAAAGTAGTAGACTAGGAAAATGATCTTTGCAGCAGCATTTTGAGTGGATATCATGGAATCATAGAATCGGAAGGGACCTAGACAGATCATCTAGTCCGAACCCCTGCCATGGGCAGGAAGGAGCACTCGGGGTGGCAGGGGTCATAAGACCCCAGCCAGGTGCCTGTCCAGTCTCCCCTTGAAGATCTCCAGGGAAGGTGAGAGCACCACCTCTCTGGGAAGCCTATTCCAGGCTCTGGCCACCCTTACAGTGAAGTAGTTCTTCCTAATATCTAACCTAAACCTATCCTCCCTCAGCTTGTGGCCATTGTTCCTGGTGACTCCAAGGGGGGCCCTGGTGAACAGACTTTCCCCAAGTCTCTGCTGGTGGCCCCTGATAAGGTTGTAGGCAGCCACAAGATCCCCCCTCAGTCTCCTCTTCTGGAGACTGAAGAGATTCAGGTCCCTCAGCCTCTCCTCATAGGGCTGGCCACGGAGGCCCTCAACCATACGAGTGGCCTCCTCTGGACCCTCTCCAGGTTCTCCATGTCCTTCTTGAAGTGCGGCGCCCAGAACTGGACACAGTACTCCAGCTGCGGCCTGACCAGCGCCGCATAGAGGGGGAGCAAGACCTCTCTGGACCTGTTAGTGATGCCCCTGTTGATGCATGACAGGGTGCGGTTGGCTCTGCCTATTGCTTCATCGCATTGGCGACTCATATTCATCCTGGAGTCAATCCTGACTCCAAGATCCCTCTCTGCCTCTGTGCTGCTGAGAGGGTCAGCCCCTAACCTATAACCATAATGCTGGTTCCCTCTCCCCAGGTGCAGCACCCTGCACTTGTCCTTGTTGAACCGCATCCTGTTCAGATCCGCCCACTTCTCTAACCTATCCAGGTCTGCCTGGATGCGGTCCCTGCCTGTCGGTGTATTCACTTTACCCCACAGCTTGGTGTCATCAGTGCTCTTCACACCCTCGTCCAGGTCGCTAATGAAGATGTTGAACAGCACCGGCCCAAGGACCGAGCCCTGGGGGACTCCACTGCCCACACGCTCCCAGGTCAACATTGACCCATCCACTACCATTGCCCTTGCCAACTACTACTTCATGTCCCATCTCCCTTTCACCTCTATACTCCGTGTCTATAGTCTATAATATATCTCCTTGATACTGTCTACAGTTGATTTTTGGAGTTCCTTTCCTCCAGTTCCATCCCAGGCTCTCTCCAGTTTACTGTCTGTCCCTCCACTGAAGCAGTTCTTGCTTAAATCCAGTGGTCCCCTTCTTAGTCATATTTCAGAACTCATACTCCACTCTCATTCTTCTTGACTTGACAGCCACCTTCAACACAATTGACCATGCTCTTCTTGTCTCTGGTGTTGAACTTGTAGCTTCCATATCTCTCTTTTCT